TTTATCTATTTATTATTGGGGCTTTCTATGCATGCATGCGCGCATGCGCGAGCAAATAGAATGCATGCATTCATGTATTTGGGCTTTCTTTGCATGCATGCATGCGCATGCAAACTGCATGCATGCGCATGCAGCTTGCATGCATGTGCATGCAAGCTGCATGCATTTATGTGGGGCTTTTTAATAAGTTGAATTGCATGCAGCAGAGACAAGAGAAGGGCAAACTTAAAAGGGACAAAAAGTGTCTCCTTTGTCTCTTTTTTTATTCTTTTTTTTTTCTCTCCTTTTTCTTTCTTTCCCCCTCTTCTTTTCTTCTCCTGCTCCTTGTATGTTAGGAAAAAATTATTTTATTTATTTTTTTTTTATTTATTTTATTTATTTTATTTATTTTATTTATTTTATTTTTATTTATTTTATTTTTTTTTTTTTATTTGTGCCTCTTATAAGGGTCTTGTTCTTTTTATGTTATTAATTATGTATATATTAGGGTTTATTCCCTTTTTCTTCTTAGGGGAAAAAATAATAAGAAAAACAATTTCTGTGTATAATTATAATTAATAAATAAAAAAGAATAATATTTTATTTCTTATTTTTTTTGTGTATATAATAAGAAAAGAAAGTCTTAATAAAGAAAAAGAAGGGAAAAAAAAGTTAATATTTTACTGCTTATACTGTGGGTATAGGGGGGAAAAAAGGAAGGGAAAAAAGAATTAAATAAATAAATAATTATATTATATTTATTATTTAATTAAATAAATAAATAAAATAAAATGAATATAAAAGAATAAACAGATATAACTAGGGTTATACGTACAAGAAAGAAGATCGTGTTGCTGCTGCTGCTGTTGTTGCGGTGTATGTGTTTCGAGTGTCACTGCACCTTTATTTTCTTCTTTCTTAGTTAATTTTCTTCGTTTTTCTTTATTTTTTGTATAAAAATATATTAATTAATTAAATTTAATTAATTATTCATAAAATTCCCTCTTTTAATACCATTTATAAAGAAAAAAGGACAAAAAAAGACAATAAACAACCCTCTGCATGCAATTACCACCATTGGGGCTGTGTTATATATACCTGCCTATACACCCCGTGGGGGGAACAGCAGGAGCAGCAGCAAGCTGCGGTGTATGTACAGCAGGAGTATATAATTTACATCTAATTAAAATAAAATATTTATTTAATCTTGTTCCTTATCTGCTGCTCTCTTCTCTTATAGTTGCTGCTTAGCAGCAGCAGCAGCAACAGCAGCAGCAGCAGCAGCAAAAGAAGGCCTCACCTACAAGAAGAAGCAACGCCTTCCTCTTATTTGCTGCTTTAATATCTTCTTTTCTTCTTCTTGCTGCTGCTGCTGCATCTGTCTCTCCTTCTTCTGCTGCTGCTGCCGTTGCTGCTGCCTCTCGGCCTCTGCCTCCTGCAGCACACCTGCAAAAGCAACGGCAGCAGCAGCTGCTGTCGGTCTCTAGCAGCAACAGCAGCAACAGCAGCAGCTGCTTCTTTTGCTGCTGCTCTCTCTGCAGCTGCTTGGGGGCCCTGAACTTAGTGTACATAGGGGGCCCCTCTCTTCCGCTTCCTCTCCTTATTGAGGTGTATATACACCACAATATTATTATTAATATAATTAATAAAAGGAGACAATTAAATAAAAAAGGAGACAATTAAATAAAAAGGAGACAAATGCTGTCCCCTCTTACCGCTAAACCTGTCCCTCCAGAGGAAGGGGTAAATAATTATATTTATTTATTTACTTATTTATTTATTTATTCTATTAATATTATTTATTTGTTTCTTTTTTTATTCTTCTTTATTGTCTCCTTATTGCCTCCCTAGTGTCTCCTTTATTGTCTCCTAAGGTGTCTCCCTTATTGTGTCTCCTTTTGTGTCTCCTATACTGTCTCCCCTGTCTCCCTTATAGTGTCTCCTCTACTGTCTCCTCTACTGTCTCCTCTACTGTCTCCTCTAGTGTCCCCTTAGGTGTCCCCTTTTGTGTCTCCTTTTTGTGTCTCCTTTTGTGTCTCCTTTTGTGTCTCCTTTTATATTAATTTATATTTTTATTTATCTTTTTGTCTATTTATTTATGTGTCCCTTTTTATTTTATTGTTTTGTCCTTTTTGTCTCTTTATCTGTCTCTTTGTGTCTCTTTCTTGCTTCTGCACTGCAGCAGCAGCAGTAGTTGCTGTTGCTGCAGCAGTTGCTGCTGCAGCTGCTGCTGCTGCTGCTGATGCTGCTGCTGCTGTTGCATATATAGGGTTTTTTATAGGAAGTGTCTCCTTTGCTGCTATGTGTCTCCTTTTATTGGGGTGTATGTACACCTCAGGTAATAAAAGAAATGGCAGAAGGAGAAGAAAATAAAAGACCTGACAGCAACACAGCAGCAGCAGCAGCAACAGCAGCAGCAGCAGCAGCAGCAGCTGAAGAGAAAGTACTTGCTGCTGCTGCTGCTTCCAAACTATCAGCAGCAAATGCTGCTACTAACGAAGCTGCTGCTGCATGCGCATCATCATCATCAACAGCAGCAGAAGCAACAGAACAAGAACCAGCAGCAGCAGCAGCAACAGCAGCAGCAGCAGCAGCAGCAACAGCAGCAGGAACAGATGATGAAGATGAAGGAGAAGTATCTGGTGAAGATTTAAAACCTTCTGCTGATTATTCTCTTGTTGCTAATGGAGGTATAAATTATTTATTTATTTATTTATTATTTTATTTACTTATTTATTTTATTTATTTATTTATTTTATTTATTCATCTATTTATTTAGTTTATCATGTACTTATTCATTAATTTATTTTATCTATTTATTTATTATTTTTTTTTTTATATAGTTTATTTATTCTGGGGTTTAGGGTTTAGGGTTTAGGGTTTAGGGTTTCTTTATCTATTGCTGCTCCTACCTTTATTATTGCTGCTGTTGCTGCTGTATAGCGTACTACAACTCCTGTTGTTCGTGCCGTTCATGCTGCTGTTGCTGCTGCTGCTGCTGCTGCTGCTGTTGCTGCTGTTGCTGCTGCTGCAGTGGTGGATATGGCGTATGTAGCCTTAGAGGCATCACGTCCTATAGAAGAATTACCTCCTCCTGCTGTTGGTGAATGGGTAGAGAGTAAAGCAGCACATGAAGATGCACAAATATTCAGGTATTTGCTGCTGCTGCTGCTGCTGTTGTTGTTGTTGTTGCTGCTGCTGTTGTTGCTGCTGTTGGTTTCTTGCTGCTGTTGCTGTTTTTGCTGGTGGTTTTATTGTTCCTGTTGTTGCTGATGCTTTTGCTGCTGTTGTTTGTTGCGGATTCGGTTGCTGCTTTTGCTGTTGTTGCTGCTGCTTTTTATTGTTGTTTCTGCTTTGTCTGTTCCTGCTGTATCTGCTGTTGTTGTTGCTGCTGTTGTTGATTCATGTGTGTGCTGCTGCTGCTGCAATTGAATGTATGCACGTGCCCGTCGGGTGTATGTCCGTCCATGAATCCGTGCAGAAGCAGCAATTAAAAAAAATATGAATAAATAAATAATGTCTTTATATGTTTTTATTTGTGGTATATATGCATCGTAAAAATTTATAAATATTTATATTTATATATATATAAATGATGGGGTGTATATGCAGCATGACCACCTTCCCACCCACGTGTGCTGTGTGTATTGAATGTATAAGGGAGAAACCTGTATATAAATGTATTAAAAAATCGCCTGTCTATGATAAATACATTAAAATAAATTAAAAAAGTGCAGTATTATGATAAATAAGAAGAAAAATTACATTTTCCCCTGTATTTATTGCTGCTTTCCACCTATTCAAATTTTTATTGAATATTCATATTCATGTTTCAGAGCGAAAGTCGTCGGACGGTACAGACACCCGGAGCACCGTTGGCTATTCCGTTTGCGTTCGCCTGCGATGGCATCGAGTTATTTAGAGCCATTAAAAGTAAGTTTTTATTCTTTTTTTATAAAAATAAAGAAAAAATTAGTAAAAAAAACTTTTTTTTTTGTTAAATATCATCTTTTTTTACCCCTGTTCCTTTCGATCTTGCAGCACGTTCGCAAGGGAACCGTTTGGACTATTGCTCGAGAACTCGACCTCGCTGCAGGAGTAAACCCTAAACCCTAGTCCCTAAACCCTAAACCCTAATTTTCTTTTTTTTGACTCTTTGAACAAGATTCACCTCTTACCCTACCAACAAAGAACAACAACAGCAACTTCTTCTCCCCCCGCCGGCCATTGTCTTGTCGTCAGTGTTGTCAACACTGCTGCTATTCCTGCAGCTCCTTCTGCTGCTCCTCCTCCACCTGCTGCTGCGGCTCCTGCTCCTTCTGCCGTGTGTGTACAGCGAAAAGCTAGACGAGTGTCCAATTCGCGTCGGCCCTTCGATCCGTCTCCCTCGCAGCAACAACAGCAACACCATCAGCAACAGCAGCACCAACATCAGCAACAGCAGCAGCAACCGCAAGCTGCTTGGGCCTCTCGAGGTGTCAACAGCAACAACGAAGGATCGCGCCGTAAATCTGCCCCAAGTCATTCATACGGCGGAGGGGCCTCCAAAGGGGCCCCTGGTAAAGCAGCAAATACACATACTGCAGCAAGCAACAAACGTCTTGCTGCTGCTGCTGCTGCTGCTGCAGGCACAGCTGCTCCTGCTGCTTCCGCAGCAATGAGGGCCACAGAGGACTCAAAGGGTGCCCAGACACCCCAAGGGGCTACACACACGGAGGGAAACCTATCCACCGCGCAACAACAGCAGCAACAGCCACCGCAGCAGGAGCAGCAGCAACAGCAGCTGTCTGAAGGAGATGCTGCTGCACTTTCAGGTGTATCTGCAGCAGACGTGCTGCAGCTAAATGGTAGGAAGAGGAGATCTCTTCCTGCATATAATCATTTTGCTAAGTTAATGGCTCGCTGCAGTCTTCCTCTAATGTGGAAACCAACTGCTGCTGCTGCTACTCCTGCTGCTGCTGCTGCAGCAGCAGCAGCCGCTGCAGCAGCAGCTGCTACAGCGACGCCTGTTCCTGCACCTGCTCCTGGTGCTACAGCAGCGACTGCAGCTACTCCTGTTGCTGCACCAGCAATTCCGGTTGCTCCTGTTGCAGCTGCACCTCCTGCTGCTGTAGCACCTCCTGCTGCTCCTGTTGCAGCAGCACCTGCTGCTGCTGCTCCTGTTGCAGCAGCAACCCCAGCTGCTCCAGTTGCTTCAGCATCACCTCCTGCTGCACCAGTTGCTGCAGCAGCACCTCCTGCCGCTCCAGTTGCTGCAGCAGCTCCTGCTGCCCCTGCTGCACAACCTCCTGCTGCTCCTGCTGCTCCTGCAGCAGCAGCAGCAGCAGCAGCTCCTGCTGGAGGAGGCAGCTTAGCTGGGGCATCAGTTGAAGGTACAGGGAATGAGACACCCAAAACCTCAGCAGCAGCAGCAGCAGCCACACCAGCAGCAGCAACAAAAGCAGCAACAACAGCTGTACCAACAGCAGCAGCTGTTGCTGCACCAGCAGCAGCAGCAGCAAAAGAGGCGTCAATGAAAAGCGCAGCAGCAGCAGAAACAAAGAGGGAGGATAAGGCCCCAACACCACCTACACATGTGGGTGCAGCAGCAAGTGTAGCAGCAGCAACAGCAACAGCTGCAGCAGCAGCAGCAACTCAGGCTCCAAAAGGAGAGGCTGATGTCCTACCAAAGGCAACGGGCCCCAAAGACGCAGAGAAGACAGCAGCAGCAGCAGCAGCAACACTAGCAGCAGCAAAAGCAGCGACACCAGCAGCAGCAACCATCGCTGCAGCAGCAGGAGTGTCTCCACGTGCAGCTGAGTCTCCTATCGCAGACAGTTTGTCTGGGACTCAATGTGCTGCTGCTGCAGCAACAGCAACAGCGGCAGCAGCAGCTGCTGCTGCAGAAGCAGCAGCTGCAGCAGCAGCAAAGCAGCAGATGGAGTGTAAGTAAATACCTCCCCCGCCTCCCCCTATCTTCCAGCTGCCTATACACCCCAAACGTATCTTATAGCTCCCTCCCTCCCCAGGGGCCAATACAGGGGAGCCCCCAAGGGGCTCCCCTGTATTGGGGGCCCCCAGGGGCCCCCCTTATGTGGGGGCCCCCTCAGAGGTATTGAGGTTGGAGTTGTGTGATTATTCTTTGCTGTCTTTGTGGAGGTAGAGAAGACACACACTCTCAGGTTCTGTCTTTATTGGGGGGCCCCCCAAAGGGGGCCCCCAGCTCTCAAGCGGGGCCCCCTAACGGGGCTCCCCCATCAGGGGTTGGGGCCCTTACCGGTAAGGGCCCGCCTCCCGCCTCTGGGGCCCAACAGAGGGAGGGGCCCCCTACCACCGGTCGCTTACATCGCATGAATGCACGAGCGCAGCTCTAGAGAGGGAATAAGAAGAATGGGCCCCCTAGAGATCTTGGGGGCCTCCAACTTGTATGGGGGGCCCCCAAGTTGACTTGGGGGCCCCTAGGGGCCCCCATGATGTCTAAAGGAGGCATTAAGGGTCCCCACTAAGGGGGAAGAAGAATTTAATAAGAAGTGTTTGTCGCAACAAAAGGGTTTAGGGTTTTGTTTTAATTAATTAATGTTTAATTCCTTTTATTATTATTATTATTATTATTATTATTATTTATTATTATTATTATTATTATTATTTATTATTATTATTAATTACTGTTACTTATTATATTGTATAATAATTATTATAATAGTAATTATAATAGTAAATAAGGGATAGTAATTGTACTACTACTACTGCTACTACTACTAATAATAATAATAAATAAATAAATAAATAAATAATAATAATAGTTATATATTAATTAGCTATCTAACTAATATAAGGAGAGTTTGCTGCTAATAAACCCTAATATAAACCCTTATTTAATTATCTAAACCCTAAATAAACCCTTAAATAAATAAACCCTTAATTTATATAATAAACCCTTAAATAAATAAACCCTTAAATAAATAAATAAATATATGTTAGAGGGGGAAGAGGGAAAAGAGAAGAAACAGAACTGTCTGTACACCTCAATTCCCTTTCCCTAATAAATGGCGGAGGTAAAAAGAAAGAAGAAAAAAGAAGAAAAAAAGAAGAAAAAAAGAATAACAAGAATATAAATAAATAAACCCTTTTATTATATTATACACAATAAACATATCCAGAGAATAACATATTATATATTCAGGTGTACGTACACCCCAAACTGTACGTACACCTGAATATATATGCGGTGTATTCCAGGTGCCTATACACCTGAATAATAATAATAAAGTTAATAGTAATAATAATATATCTATTTATTTATTTATTTATTTAATAAGTTGGCGGTAAAAGAGAAACAAAAACAAAAAGTTTAAATAATGACGGTAAAAAGAAGAAAAAACAAACAACAACAGCAATAAGCTGCCTGTACACCCGAAGGGGATATACATATTTGTATATATATATTTATATATATATAATATTTTTATATAATATATACTGTATATATATACCTATTATTATATATATTTAATATATAATAATGTATATTGTATATATATT